AAAGTTATTGCTGTCTATCCAATGCCGTCGATTAAATTCATCAATTTTCAAACATCAGGTGAGTCAGCAGCATGTGTGCAGCATATTTGACAATAATGGGACACCCACGCTTGGCGCTTACTCGAGAGTAATTACAATAGCTATTAAGAATCGCTGACATCGTCCACTACACCAACAGATCTTGTTGTTAGCAGCGCATTAGACTCTGGTCATCGGATATGATAATTCACATCGCGTCTGCAGTGCAAGTAAATGCACCGCTCGACTCACCAAAACATTAACGTCTACACAACACGGCGATGCTTATAGATGATGCTTCATTCCATTCATGGAGGTTTCTGAACAACATCTCACCAGTGGAGTAGTCATGAGAGCTTCATAAAAATAATCAATCCTCAAACATAAAGCTCTGTCTTATGCAGTGCTGCCTTATGGGAGGATGGGAGGAGCATCAGTGAAGTCGCCAATAGGAGGCGCACTGGTAACTACCGGAGCTCCAGTGCTAGTAGCCTCCATCATAGAGGATTCAGTGGTGGACACCACCGAAGAGGCTCCAGTAGTCATAGACTCAGTCAGGGTGGCTGTAGGAGTAGTAGACTCATTCACAGGAGCTTCAGTTGTAGACTCGTCTACAGGGGCCTCAGTAGTGGACTCACCAACAGAGGCTTCAGTAGTAGCCTCATCCACAGGAGCTTCAGTTGTGGACTCGTCTACAGGGGCCTCAGTAGCAGACTCGTCTACAGGGGCCTCAGTAGTGAACTCATCTACAGGGGCTTCACTAGTGGACTCGTCTATAGGGGCTCCAGTAGTAAACTCATTCACAGGGGCTTCAGTAGTAGCCTCACCCATAGGTGCTTCAGTAGTGGACTCACCAACAGGGGTTTCAGTGGTAGCCGCATCTACAGGGGCCTCAGTAGTGGACTCTCCCATAGTGGCCTCAGTAGTGGACTCGTCTACAGGGGATTTAGTGGTACCCTCATCTACAGGGGCCTCAGTAGCAGACTCGTCTACAGGGGCCTCAGTAGCAGACTCGTCTACAGGGGCCTCAGTAGCAGACTCGTCTACAGGAGCTTCAGTAGTAGACTCATCCACTGGGGCTTCAGTAGTAGAACCGTCTACAGGAGCCTCGGTAGTAGGCTCACCAACAGGGGCTTCAGTAGTGGACTCGGCTACAGGAGCCGCAGTAGTGAGCCCTTGCATAGTGGCCTCAGTAGTAGAGTCATCTACAGCGGCCTCAGTAGTAAACTCTTCAGTAGTGGCCTCAGTAGTGGACTCGTCAACAGGGGCCTCGGTAGTAGACTCACCAACAGGGGCTTCAGTAGTGGACTCGGCTACAGGAGCCTCAGTAGTGAGCCCTTGCATAGTGGCCTCAGTAGTAGAGTCATCTACAGCGGCCTCAGTAGTAAACTCTTCAGTAGTGGCCTCAGTAGTGGACTCGTCTACAGGAGCCTCAGTAGTGGACTCGTCTACAGGGGCCTCAGTAGTGGACTCGTCTACAGGTGCCTCAGCAGTAGACTCGTCAACAGGGGCCTCGGTAGTAGAGTCGTCTACAGGGGCCTCAGTAGTAGACTCATCTACAGGAACCTCAGTAGTGGACTCGTCTACAGGGGCCTCAGTAGTGGACTCGTCTACAGCAGCCTCAGTAGTGGACTCACCAACAGAGGCTTCAGTAGTGGACTCGTCTACAGGGGCTTCAGTAGTAGACGCATCTACAGGGGCTCCAGTAGTGGACTCGTCTACAGGAGCCTCAGTAGTAGACTCATCTACAGGGGCTTCACTAGTGGACTCGTCTACAGGGAATCCAGTAGTAGACACATCTACAGGGGCTTCGGTAGTAGCCTCACCTACAGGGGCTTCAGTAGTGGTACCGCGTACAGGGGCTTCAGTGGTACCCTCACCTACAGGAGATTCAGTAGTGAACTCGTCTACAGGGGCCTCAGTAGTAGACTCTTCCATAGTGGCCTCAGTAGTAGACTCTTCCATAGTGGCCTCAGTAGTAGAGTCATCTACAGCGGCCTCAGTAGTAAACTCTTCAGTGGTGGCCTCAGTAGTAGACTCGTCTACAGGGGCTTCAGTAGTGGACTCGTCTACAGGGGCCTCAGTGGTAGACTCGTCTACAGGGGCCTCAGTAGTAGACTCATCTACAGGGGCTTCGGTAGTAGCCTCACCTACAGGAGCTTCAGTAGTGGACTCGTCTATAGGGGCGCCAGTAGTAGACTCATCTACAGGAGATTCAGTAGTGGACTCGTCTACAGGTGCTTCAGTAGTGGACTCGTCTACAGGGGCTTCAGTAGTAGCCGCATCTACGGGGGCCTCAGTAGTGGACAACTCTACGGGGGCTTCAGTAGTAGATTCTTCTACAGGGGCCTCGGTAGCAGTAGACTCTGCAGGCGCCCCCGTCCCCGGCATCTCTGGTGTTTCCGTAGTATCATGGGGAGGGTATGGTGTTGTAGCCGTGAGGACGGAATGGTCGAAGCTGAGCTCAATAGTCGAGTCCTCAACCCGGTAGGTGTCGTCAACGGTATACATCGGGCCGTAGTCGCCAAAAACGCAAAAGCCGCCACATCCCCTCTCAATCTTCGCCGTAGTGGACTGCATACCGCGTTGGACTCCCC